GCGCAAACGCCCCGGCAGGGCTGACTCGCGAGTAAAGGCGCGGGGGATCGCAGCCGCCCGCAGCGCGGGGCTCGTCGCGCTTTATCCGAGGCCCTCTGCGTGTAAGTAGACTTGCTCGGGAGCGTGCGTGCATATTGCTGCTGATTCACACCAACGCAAGATGGGAACCCGTGGTTCGGTCGGATTTAGGTTACATACTCTGCCTCTTCTGCAAGATTTCCGGGCGGCTGCGCTGGAGCGCTCTTCGCGTCGTCCCCTCGACAGGAATCCTCCGCGAGGTCGGTGGCGCCGAGAGACGCTGCCCGGCCCGGAGTCATCCCGAGAGGTTGGATGCCGGCGGAGGGGCGCAGGTACTGCGCTCGCGAAGCAGCCTGGCCGACACTTTGGTTATAGGACGCCTTGTGAACCGGGAGGGGAAGGACGCCTCGCTTTTGCTAACTGCGCCCTTTAGCTTGGAGCCTCGTGCAAAGGCGCCGCTTCGCCTTCAACATGGAGCGAAAATCCAGTGGTCCCTCTAGCCAGAAACACGCGCCCCCCTTACTAATGGCTGCAAACGCCCACCTTTTCCTTTCCTTTCCTTTCCTTTCCTTGCAGAAGAACGTACTTCTCAGTATAAACATGGGCGTGGGTGAATTATAAAAATAAAAATATGCTTCTGAGATGGGGTTTGGAATTCTCCATTTTGTCTTCTGAAAAGTACATCTTATTTTGGGTGGGGGGTAAGATGTGCAGAGGTGGCCGTAGAGATGTCAGATCTGTTGAACTTGTGTGGGATTTATTTCTATGGAAAGCACTGGACAGTAGGTGTTTTTACGCAGAACAAAGTTCCACTGAGCCCAATTCACATTATTTAAGGAAAATTTTCAGGTGGATCGGGTGCTTCTAATTCGGCTGAGCAATTGCACTTCTAAAGAGGTTTATAAAATGTTTTACACTTCAGCCATTCTGTCAGTGTACTGTAGAGGGAAGGACAGGGTTCATGTTCCACATTAGGCCAGGGTTTAACTATGGCTTGTGGAATCAGCCAGCATCACCTGGTTCCCTAAACATTTTAAACCATGATCCGGGGTTTTCAAACTGGAATAGCTCATTTTACATGGCACGCTGAGTCAAAACTCCAGTAACAATTACAGGCTCAGAATGGGATTGAAGTATGAATTCAAATTGCAGTAAATGCAAGCAGAGTACACACTTGGCTTATTCCTGGGATTTGGAAGTCTAATATTACAAATCAACGAAACGAGTAGTTGCTTTACAAGCCTCCTGAAGAGCAGTCTTTCTGGATGAGACTAAAAAATCAGGAGTCTGGTGGCACCTTTTCCGGCTAACAAACTTTATTAAAAGTTTCATACAAAAGTGTATGTCTTTTAATAAAAGTTCAATAGCCAGAAAAGGTGCCACCAGACTCAATTTTTTGCTAATGTAGACTAACATGACTCTCCTCCTACAATGTTTGGATGAGACCAAAAGTCTCTCCATTCCAGTTTCCACTTTCCCTTGGTGGCCAGCCAGAAGCCGATCGTGACACTGGAGTAAGGTCTCCCTGAGCATTCAAGAAATTCCCACACTTTGGCAGCCCCACTTTTAGGGAAACAAGTCCCAAGTTTATGTAATGAGAGCAGTCGATGACTCAATCTAAACTTGGTAGTTTGACTGCTTCAAATGAAAGGAGGGCAAAAGTTTGATCTTTGGGTCAAAAGATAAAAAAAACCACACTAGACATTTCCGAGGACAGGTTTTTGTTCCTGTTTGCAAAACTAGCGAGATAATAGAAACTGAAATCTAGAAAATGGTTGTTCTAATTTTCCTTTGTTATTTGAGTAAAAAACTTGGTACGTGTGCCAGCAACCACTTCTTCTAGCAGCAAAGAGAGATGTGAGGGGTGATAAACTGCATTTAACATATTTATTTATTTATATTTCAAATTTGTCACTGCCCATCTCACTGCAGAGCGACTCTGAGCGGTCTACAGTAAAAAGAATAAAAATTAAAATAGAATAAATATTAATTAAAATACATTACAAGAAGGAGTTATTAGACTTGGGGAGCGTCTTCAAGGCGCCAGCCACCCCCAGGGTTGGTTATATCCCTTCTTGCCCCACGTGAGTTGGCAAAGGCAGGTCTTCACCCCTTTTCGGAAGGCCGGGAGAGTGGGGGCCCGCCTCACCTCTGGGGGAAGAGTGCTCCATGGGGTGGGGGCCACAGCAGAGGAGGCTCTCCGTCTGGACTCTGCTAGTCGACATTACAAAGGCTAATGCTAGTTAGTAAATTAGTTCTCTGATTAACTCTCAAACTAGAGAGCAGATCTGTCTAGCCTTGATAATGCATTCTTTTAAATGCAAGTTTAAGGTTTGCATCATTCATTTCACGTGCTTTTATTTCCTTACAATATATGGTAAATAAGATAAATAAGTTCTCTATCTTTTCATTTTCATTTCCTGATGCTTCAAAACAGGGCAGGAGAGGCTGTTTCCCGACATGGAGACTTGAGGGCTTTACTGTATTATCCTTTAAGCACTATTCATCAATTTCCAACCCATCTGGAAGGATTTAAATTGCTTAAGAACAGGAAATCCACAAACAGGCGAGAAGGCAGAGAGAAACCTTTCGTGTGTTTTTGTCCTGTTTTGTCCCACTTGTTGTACAGTAAACCCTTGATAGTAGACCAGGGTTCCTCAAACTCAACACCTTTAAGATGGGTGGACTTTAACTCCCAGAATTCCTCAGCCAGCATAGTTGGCTGGGGAATGCTGAGAGTTGAAGTCCACCCATCTTAAAGTTGCTGAGATTGAGGAACCCTGAAGTAGATGCTGGAGGCAACAGACAAAGCCTTTTTGCCATTTTATACATCCCATTCACATTTGGGTCTGATTCTGGCTGGGGAATTCTGGGAGTTGAAGTCCACGCATCTTAAAGTGGCCAGGGTTGAAAAACACTGGCCTAATGGAATCCTTCTGCTGTTATTCCATAAAATGGAGCATGTGCTTGTATTTGCAAGTTGATTTGTTTCAGTGAACCGTAAAAGCCCAAATTCATTCGGTATCTTAATTCAGATTCCCTTTTCGGCCTTTAGCCTGTAGCAGCGAAGTGACCCTCAAAGAGCTCCATTCATCCCTAAGGCTTAAACCCATTGAACCTGGTCAGCTTGTCGCTTTGGGTGTTCCAGCAGTCCTAAAACAGCGGCTGAAATAATCCTGCTCGCCAAGAGGAAAACTCGCCACTGCTTTCGATTCTTCCTTCCAGCTCCAGAGCCAAGCTGACAATGCGGCCCCTTCCAAACAGGCCAGAATTCTGGCCTTCTGCTCCATCACCCCAGCAGGAAGAGGAGAAAGGCAGCGTCCCCATTGTTTCCCTGTTTTGAAACTTCATTCATTCCTTGCAGGCCGTCAACCAGGGGCCAGAGGCCTGCGAGACAAAGGAGACATTCATTCCCCACCCCTGGACCTACCAGCAATTCTAGCCCAGAACAGCAGCCCCCCCCCCACTCCAAAACCAATGCAGGGAACATGACAATGGGGCCATTCAGAAATGCTGCAAGTGAGGCAGGTACAAAGGCTCTGGGGAGTTTTAAATCTCCCCCCCGCTTAACATTCCCCACCTCCTGTTTCCCTGGCCCTGCTTTAGAGGCCAGGGAAAGAGAGAGGCAGGCTGCTGTGTTCCCACGCCATCTTTTGTCCCCCCAGCCAACCATTCTTAACTAAGCACCAGCAAGGGAGAGGAGAGCCGTGATGCGGCTGCAGGACCTTGGCTTGGCTTGGGACGGTGTTGGGGCTGCTGCGGCCACCCTGTGTCCTGATTTTCGGTTTGCTTTGCAGCATAAGGTGGCTTTGCACGCAAGGGTAGGACGGGCAGGCAGAAGCCCTTGCTCAGCCCATCTGCTTGATGCTTTCTGGCTTGGCGGTGTTTCTTGCATGGCGTTATGCATTCTCACGCTTTGCCCACGGGGGAAAGGGATGCGTGGGTCAGTGTGAGGAGCCCAAGGCTCTTTCCTCTCATTTTCTTTAAAAACCCACTGTCCTTCAGGGGCATCTCTGCTAAGGCCAGTGCTTGGAGGGCTTTGGGAGAGAAGACGTCCTCTGTGCCAGGAAACGAAGGCCTTCCTAACCCCTTTCAAGCTTGCTGCTGGACTCGAATTCCTCACCTCACTCCTTACAGGACTTCTCTTCTGAGAGCAGCTGCGTTCACTCATTATGCATTTGGGTTTATGAGGTCTCCAAGCTGAACCCGAGGCCAAGTATTTTCATGGACGTTTCACATTGTTTTTGGGGCAGCAACAGGGAAGTGGTTTGCTGTGGCCGCCTTCACAGAATTTTTTTTCATTTCCCAGTCTACTCTGTAGCTCTAAGATTTCCTGGTGTTCTCCCATCCAAGGACAAAAATCTGACACTGCACAGCTTTGTTTTTTCCAGCCATCAACACGAACATTGAGTGGGGTGTTTGTGAAGTCTCTTTCGAATCAAGCTTGACTCCAGGTGACTACATGGACGTGTTCTTGTACGGGATTTTTAGCAAGTAAAGAAATACTTTCCCAGTGATTCCCTCTGAACTTTCCAGTCTGCCTACATCCCTGGTTTAGTGGTTCTCTATTAACATATTAGCCAGGTCAGGCCCTGCTTAGGTTTTTGAGGTCAGCCAAGGTTGGCTAGAAGTTGCAATTTAGTTGGGCCATGATTTTTGTATAATAGTTTTATTGAGTACACCTCAATTGGCTGAAGTCACATATTAAGCTGTAAACCAGGGCTTACATGCCAAAATAGCTGAATGCACCCACTCCATAAATCCAAACAGACCATATTGTGGGCTAGCAGAATGTGTGAAGTCAGACAGTGGCTGGCTAGGTTCACACAAGACACCAAAGTGCAAAGCAGCCAACCACATTTTGGTCCAGTGTGTCGTGTGAATCAAACTTGTGTGAGCAGTTTGTCACGCAGCCCCCCCCCCGAAGTAATCCTGGTGAGAAGTTTATAAATCCTTCGATAAAGGCATGATGAAGTCCAGTGTTTGGTGTGGGTTTTTTTATTTAACAGAGTCTTTCCACCTAATACCATTTTAGATCATGTTGGGAATCTTAGTGCTGCAGGGTGATGGACAGTTCTAAAGGGTTCACAAACTTTCTCTCACTCTGGTTCAGCTAACCAGGATTATGCAAGCCCAGCCACTCTTAAACTTTAACCCTGCATGTGCCATTACCTGGCCTACAAGAGGAAATTTAGGACAAACTTCCCCAAGCCTTGCAGACAGTTTGGACTACAACTTCCATCTTAAAAAGCCAGCAAAATCACATTTTTTTCACTACAGAGGAACCTGCTGGGTAACCTGTGCTTCAGTTACAAATGAGAGAAAAAGAAAGATCCTTAAAATACCCAGGGAGGATCATGCATGTCCTGAAAAGGGCCCATGCTCAACGTGCAGCTGTGTCTGTGAAAAGAATCCAGGAAACAGGTATGGGAAGGCTCCTTCCCCAACACAGATTTGGGGGAGCCACTCGGAGGAGGAACCGGCTCACTGGATCAATAATCTGATACAAAGGTAGTCAATGTTTTCAAACTGGAAACTGTCTTACAGGCAAACCTAATGGAGGATTTACTGAGAATGTTGAAAGATCTGGAATTTCCAAGTCTCTATTCCACCCTGTGTTTGCTTAAAACAAGAGCCCAAAGACACTGGAGAAATGGCAGCGGAAAACCTGGATTGCTCTGCTGCCTGTTGCCAACTGAGGGAAATGTCCAGCTTGTACTAGGACAGAGAGGGGGATTCCTGCAAGGTGTTTGGGCAGAATCCAACTTCACAAGATGCTGTAGGCTTGAGGTATCATGCACAGGGAGCATACTGTAAGGCCAGGCGGTCAAAGTCATTCTCCTTTAGCCCAGAACACAAAGAAAGAGAGAAAAAAGTTTTCATTCTAAGGGGGAAAAACAAATCCACATTGCAGCAGCTAAAAAGGTCAATACAATCTTGGGCTGCATGAACAGAAGTTGTGTGTCCTGGTCAAAGGACATTAATGGTCTCCCCTTATCTACACTGGTTATTTCACAGTTGGAGTGCTGTGTCCAATTCTGGGCGTGATGCCAGGTGGTTGTCCTAGATCAGTGTTTCTCAACCTCAGCAACTTTAAGAGGTGTGGACTTCCAATTTCCAGCATGCTGATGAGGGATTCTGGGGGTTGAAGTCCACATATCTTAAAGTTGCAGAGGTTGAGAAACCTTGGCCTAGGGCTCACAAGGTCCCTTCCAACCCCTCATTCTGAGATGGAGACCTGCCAGATTGTGATGTCAGCCCAGTAATAATCTGATAATAACCAAAGTACCTCTCTACAAAAGGGGTTGTCCATTGCATTTCTGCATGATCGGAAGTCCAAGTAACTTCCCGGATTGGACCGCTCAACTTTTGTGGGCATGCATGGCAGAAAGGCCTGTCATCAAGGAATAACTTGTCCATTCATTCCATTTGCAAGCTGCCTAACTTGATTACAACTCAGGGAGGTGCACATTATACAAAGTTTAAAATAAAACCATCCACATAAGACAAAAAGAATATCTGGAGACAGACAACCACCAACTCACAAATCAGGCCTGCTCTAGCCCAAGGCCTGGGAAAAAAGCCCCATTTTAAGGGCTTGTCTAAGTAAAAGTGGGCGGTGGGGGAGGGAGATACACACTGCTTATTACTTCTTTGCTACCTGAGCAACCCCCAGAACTGGACTCAGCCAGCAATGCACTCTGTGAAGGGTGAACCATTATCTGATTTATTCCCAAGGTTACTTATACTTGAGCCTGACAAACTTCTTTTATGGCACCGTACGTAGGGCCTCACAACCATTTGCAATGCTTGGAAAACAGCAAGAACGCCTTTTTAAAAAGATGACAGCTATCTTTAGAGCAGAAGGCAAAGCCAAAGAGAAGAGACGTGTTACCTTAGCTTGATACTCCTTTATGAACGGATGATTTTTATGGGCATCCTTGAGCTGCGACAGGTAGCGGTTGGTCACCTAAAAGAAGGCAGAAGGGACGGAACCAAAGCGCTGAGCAATGAAAACGATGGAAAAAAAGTCCCGTGAGCAGGAAAAGGAGCAGATTCCGCTCCCAAAGGGAAAGGCCGCTGGAGTGGGAAGAGCGGGCTGGTCTTCCGTGTCAGCAGGAGGCTGATTGAGAACTGGGTGACCTCTGACCGTTCCCACGCAGTGGAGGGAATCCCAACAGACGTGGCTGCGGGAGGAAGGATTTCAGGCGAGCTGCCCAGAAATGCACAATGGATTTGGAAGGAGAGAGGGGGTGATGGAAATTGGCTCCCTGGTCGAGGAAACAGGAACAAGCGCGGAGGGAAAACCAAAGAAAAACTTCCCTAGCAGTTTCCTTTGCTGCGGCTGGCTGAATGTGTGCTTGCAGCCAGGGGTCAGAGGAGTCAAGGGAGAAGAGGTGGCCAGGGCCAGTTCCCACTTCCCCCCCATGCCAAAAATGGCAGTGGAGAGAGGAGCCAAACTCATCAAGGACATGACTGCAATTAATTACCCTTAATCAGTTATTCCTGCGTCTGAGAATCTTAGAATTGGAAGGAATCTTTTAAGGCCTTAATTCCATTCCGTGCTGAGTGCAGGATTCCACTAAAAGCAACCTGGATGGGTGGCTCTCCAGACAAATGGCTTAAAGGAGTTTTTTTCAAACTTGGCAACTTTAAGATGTGTGGATTTCAACTCCCAGAATCCCCCAGCCAGCATGGCTGGCTGGGGGATTCTGGGGGGTGAAGTCCACACATCTTAAAGTTGCCAAGTTTGAAAAAAACTCCTTTAAGGTTGAAGTCCACACATCTTAAAGTTGCCAAGTTTGAAAAAAACTCCTTTAAGGTTGAAGTCCACACATCTTAAAGTTGCCAAGTTTGAAAAAAACTCCTTTAAGGTTGAAGTCCACACATCTTAAAGTTGCCAAGTTTGAAAAACATTGGCTTAAAGTCATCTGGCCAAATGATTCTCTTGAATAAAAATCTTGCAAAAAGAAACATGATAGGATTGGAATGGTGCCCCAATGCAGAGAGAGAAATTGGCTTGATCGGAGTGTCCATTAGGTGCTTAGGGTGTGGTTGTGTGGGTTAACAAGAATTTAATGGCTCCTTTGAATAAGAGGGCTGAATTTAATTTTTTTGGGTGCTCTATCTGGGGACTGGTATTCTGATCACAGGAACGGTCAGATCCCTGAAATACTTGGCCCGGTTTGCAGGTTGGGGGGAAGTTTTAAGGGAGGAAATGGTGCTTAACCTCTGCTGTCCCTTAACTTTTCCACTCATGGAAAAACAATCTCTTTTATTGGATTTTTAAGGAGAACAATTTTACCCCACTCTCCAAACCCTGAAAAAGGTGAAAACATGTTGGATCCAGCCATTCAGGCTGGGGGAGGATTTGGGGGCCCAGCCCTGGCTTATAGTTACCCAAAAGAGGCAGAAGTAAAACACTGATTAAAGGAGAGATTCAGAATCCTGGCTTACTTGTATCAGAACATTTGTCTCTTCTATCTAAGTCAGTGTCTCCCAACCTTGGCAACTCTTAAGATGTATGGACTTCAGCTCCCAGAACTCTGGGAGCTGAAGTCCACACATCTTAGTGTCGCTACTGTTGAGAAACACTGATCTAAGCAATGTTTAAGGCCACATGTAACATTTGGGGGAAGAAGATAGATCAGACAGGAACAGTGATGCAAAACAAAAGTAACAAAGGCACATCACGTGCGTGACCAGGATTTCTCATTTGGGGGCGGACGGTCATCTTAAAACTGCCTATTACAATTTTCTTTGGCTTTTTTCTTGCACAATTCATTTTTGGTTTTAATTGCAAGTACTATTTTGCAGTATGAAAGAGAACTGGGAACTGTAAGTAGGCCATTCCAAGTCTGTACAAGGAAATGGTGCAGACTGAATCTGGAAACGTTCCTGAAATGGTTGGACCGGAGATGAAAGATGATTCAAGCTCTTTGAACTCTGATACTGGCGAAGGAGAGAAGTGACTGCAGGTATGGTCAAAAGAATCAAAATTCTTTTTCCTTTTTTTTCCCCTAGAGGCAAATTGAGAGAGCTTACCTCTGGGGGTTTCCCCAGGTGTTGTGAGAGGACTACAAAGTTGATCAGGGTCTCAGGATGGCTGCTGTCCTGCAGAGGGGAGAAAGGCACAAAAATCAGCGCTGAATAGGAACCAGATATGTGGTTTTCTTCCAGACAAAGTTGCTTCATTGGTGTAGCTGAAGACTCTCTATTCTGACTGAAAGTGATTCTTGGAGGGCTCCCATAATTTGGTAGTGAGATTGAACCAGACGGGCCAAGAATTTCCGCAGGCCAAGAAGGAAGCAATTATTTGATTTTTCAGACAAGTGATGCGCAGAAACCCGATCAGCCACTGATCCATCTAGCCTAGGATTTATTCCAGTGGACAACGGATCATCCTTGCGTCAGATAACTTGCCATTACCCAAGAGCAGAGTTTCTCAACCTTGGCAACTTTAAGACGTGTGGACTTCAACTCCCAGAATCCCCCAGCCAGCATAAACCAGTGTATCTCAACCTCAGCAACTTTAAGATGTGTAGTCTTCAACTCCCAGAATACCCCACCCATGAGGAATTCTGGGAGTTGAAGACTACACATCTTAAAGTTGCTGAGGTTGAGAAACACTGGTTTAAATCCATTATTTGATGTCTTGCACTCTTGAAGGGTAAGAGAAGACGTCTTGATCTTCTGAGTAATACTCTTTTTGATCCTTGAAAAGTGCTGTCAATCCCATGTATGTGTCACTATATGCCCTGTATGTTTGCTCATTTGTTTCTTTTTGCACTTGGTCAATAAAAGAAAAATAGGGAAATAAGGAAAAACTAAGCATACTCATTTCCCTCCAGCACTCCCTGTAAGCTGACTTTTCAATCTTCTGATGATCCTCATTGCCCCCTGACTTGGATAGGATTGCGTTTCAGCCTGATTTCTGGGGAAAAGCCCACCTTGTCGAGAGCCTCCTGGAGCACCCCTTCGGCATCTTCCCACTTGCCCTGAGCCATGTAGCAGGCAGCTTGGCCGTTCAGGAGCAGCAGTGTGGGTGACCACTTCTCCGACATCTCCTGGAAGATGTAATAAGCGTCCTGCAATTTTTCACCACCCTGCAGAGCAAGACATCAAGAAATCCTATTTTAAACATTCAGTCTGCATGCATATTCAGGGTGCCTCAGAAATCCCCCCCCCCCAATAAGTTCAATGCTGAGGATTTAAACCATTTCAGGATTACACCTAATATGAAAACTTTGGTTGGGAGAACTGGGACAGCTGGAGGAGAATGATGGTGGACTAGTGTATGCTTCTCCCACCTTGTTGACTTCCAGGTATGTGGACTTCAACTCCCAGAATTCTCAGCAATGGCCTTGCTGGTCAGGGATTGCTGGGAGTTGAAGTCCACATTTCTTGAAGTTGCTGAGGTTGGAAAGCCTGACACATTACATGGTGTGTTTTCCTTCAGAGTCTGGATGGTCATCTGTTAGAGATGCTCTAGCGGGGGTTAGACTAAATGACCTCTGAGATCCCTTCTAACCAGAGAACCGGTCAAGCATTCAGCTGAGAAAAGAGAGGGGCACTGTCATTAGAGCCATACTGCAACTGTAGAATTCACCAAGAGCTCAGATGCAAATACTACCATCTCAGATGGATTCAGAAGGGAGATTAACTTGTCTAATCTCTCTTCTGAATCCATCCCATCTGATGGTTTTTGCAACCCAGCAAACAGCCCATTCAGAAGCAGAAACTTCAGTGCCAGCGTCTGCAGGCATCAGAGCCTTTCCAAAGCAACTCACTGGCTACTGGTGGGAGACAGGCAGAAATCTGGTCTGATCCAAGAGGATCATCACTCTAAAGAGCACCTCTGAATGGGTGGGAGCTGCTGAGAGGGAGGGGAAAGGGGAAAAGGGACAGCCATGATCTCCATACTCTCCTATAAACTTTTACAAATGCATTAAATTGACGCTGAGATTGGAGTGAAAAGGTGAAGGAAGAGGTTTGTTGGCTATCTCACCGTAGCTCAGCGTTTTTCAAACTTGGCCCCTCTAAGATGTGTGGACTTCAACTCCCAGAATGGCTGGCTGGGGAATTCTGGGAGTTGAACTGCACACATCTTAGAGGGGCCAAGTTTGAAAAATACCACCGTAGCCCATCGTAACCCATTTTTGGCAGAGCTGTTTTCCCCCCCATTGGAACAAATTCCAGCAAATGGCTATTTATACCCAGCATAACAACGGTAAGCTGCCAGTCCCAACCTCCTGATAACTCGGGACTGCGTCTCCCAGGATTCCTAGCTAGCACAGCCTATCTGTGGGAATTTTGGGAGCTGCCGTTCCACCGTTTCCATTCCCCAGATGGCTGAAAGTTGCTTGAATTCACCCCTGCTACATCTGGCTTCCCCTTAGTGCCCGACTGCAAGTGGAAGACACCTACCATCGCAAGGTTCACCCATGCGGTTGCCAGCTGCGTCAGCGTGGAGTCCTCATCTTGTTCCTGCATCTTCTTAAGCTCTTTTCTGAAGAGAGGGAGGAAGGTAGAAGGGGGCACATGAGTGAAAAAGCACCCCAGACCTCTTGCTGGTCTCCCTGTAGGGTAAGCGTCACATGGCAGGCACTCAGGGGGCAGCTGAAGCCACCCTATTTTGTACTGATCCATGGCCTGCAACCTCCTCGTTTAAAACCGACAATACGAGGGACTGAACAGGGAACTTTCACTTGCAAAGTTAGGCCTCTACTTACTGACTCCGGCCTGTCTCCTAGAGCAGCCGTTCTCAACCGGCATTCCACGGCACACAGGTATACCAAGGGCTTGCTTCTCGTGTCCATGAGATTTCTGTCTTATGTTTTTTTCCATTTTTTTCTTCTATTATGTATATTCTGGGTAATCCATATAGTCAATACAGTGCCGATATTAAAAAAAAAAAAAAAGGTCTAGTGGTGAAGGCACCAGGCTAGAAAGCAGGAGACGGCGAGTTCTAATCCTACCTTAGGCATGGAAAATGGCTGGGTGACTTTGGGCCAGTCCCTCTCTCTCAGCCCCACTCACCTCACAGGGTGGTGGTTGTGGGGAAAATAGGAAGAGGAAGGAGTATTGGTGTGTTCACCGTGTTGAGTTATTTATAAAAAATAATAAAGGCGGGATAAAAAAATCTAAAAAAAAAACCCCTTCCCCTTAAATCGTGTCTTACACATTTAAAAATACAGTATGTATACTGTATACAATTAATAATTTTCTGGTGTGCCACAGAACTACTGCTATATTCAATATTGTACCGTGGATTCAAAAAGGTTGCAGACCACTGTCCTAAAGACTTAGGAGATAGTCAAACCCTTATAATTTTTGTGACACCAGGTGAGCTTTAAATTGATTGGGTTTTTATCTACCACAGTTTAGAGACTCTTAACGAATTACATGCCAATCAAATGTCAATGGTACAATATATATCAATTAACCAATTTCAAAAGTCATAAGAAGTTAAACCCATAAAATAGAAATCATAAAAAGAAACCAACAGCAAAAGAAAAAAAAGATGGTGCCGTTTGCAAAGGAGAAGCAATAAACAATTTTCTATTCAGTCATTTTCTGAAGCCAAATAATTGAATTTTGGGGGTTGGCAAAGTTCAGGGAGGAGAGAACGACATTCAGGTTCAATTTAACTCCCTCTTGTCACTTCCTTGTGTGACGTGGAAGATCTTCCACGTCACACTAAAGAGCAAATCAGTTTTAATTTCATGTCCTGGATCTCATACCAACTCTGTTCGGCTTGGCACAGCAATAATATGCAAATGATACCCAGTTATACATCTCCATCCCGGTTGACTTGAGTGATGCCGTGACCACCCTTTCGTGATGCCTGGAGGCTGTGGGGGTCTGGATGGGGGACAACAGGCTTCAGCTGAACCCTGGTAAGACGGAGTGGCTGTGGATACGGGGAGCCTCAAGATCTAGGGCTTTGTCATCTTTGGTTCTTGACAGGGTTGCACTGCCCCAGACAGACCTGGTGCATAATCTGGGAGTCCTCCTGGACTCACGACTCCTGCTCGAGGAGGAGATGGCAATCGTGGCCAGGAGGGCCTTTGCTCAATTTTGTGTGGTGCGCCAGTTATACCTTTTCCTGGATCAGGAGGCTCTCCAGTTAGTCACTCATGCCCTGGTCATCTCTCGGTTAGACTACTGCAATGCGTTCTACATGGGGCTACCCTTGAAGAGTATCCAGAAGCTACAGCTGGTTCAAAATGCAGCCGCACGGACAATCTTGGGTGCCCCAAGGACGGCACATATAATACCTTTACTGCAGGAGCTGCATTAGGTCCCAGTCTGCTTCCGGGTTCAATTCAAGGTGTTGGTTATTACCTTTAAAGCCCTATATGGCATGGGTCCAGGCAACCTGAGGTTTCACCCCCATCACATCAACCTGTCCCACCCCGTCAGGCAGAAAGGGCTGGTTGCAGACCCCGTCAGCGAGAGAGTGTTGGCTGGCGGGGCCCAGGAGGAGAGCCTTCTCTCCCATTGCCCCCACCCTCTGAAATATTCTCCTCCCAGAGGTGTGGTGGGCCCCCACCCTCCCAGCTTTCTGGAAAGGACTAAAGACCTGGCTCTGCCAGCTTGCGTGGGGCGAGAAGAATTTTAAGCAATCCTGGGGGTGGCTGGCGCTCGGATGACGCTCCCTGGGCTACGAGCCAATTATCATCAATTCTTGGAATTTATTGTTTGTTTAAGATTACTTTTATATTGTATTTTTAATTAACTTTATATTCTCTGTAAACCACCCGGAATCCCTTTTTAATGAGATGGACGGTGACAAATTTGGAGGAGGAGGAGGAGGAGGAGGAGGAGGAGGAGGAGGAGGAGATGTAGATGTAGTATCATCATCATCATCCCAGGAAGCTGCAGTAAAGGGAAATATCGGAAAGCAAGTTCTGCTCTACTAGATCAGCAATTTTAGCTTCTCTCCTGGAACTTTTTCCATTTTGGCTGAAAACTGCAAGAACTTTGTATACTTAAGCAGCAGTGGCTTCAAGTGGCTTCAAATTCCTTCTCCTGCACAATCCCTTTTCCTCCTGTGTCATGTCCTAGGTCCAGAGGTGGAAATAAAGCTTTAAAGGCAAAGATGCCAACAGGGGTGGGTTTTTTCCCCACCTGATGACTCATTGCATAGGCAGAGCTTTCATTGGGAGGTGGGGGGGTGCCGAAAGAACTTTTACAATGCAAGGGAGATTCAGGACCAAGGAAAGTGTTTTTATATCATGCATAATTGAATTGTGGAATTCACTGCCAGGGGTTCGATAATGACAGCCAATTCGGATGGTTTGAAAAGGGGACCTGCCAAGGTTATGGATGATCAGGCTACTATTCATGGCTGTTCAGTACTTTCTGAATTGCAGGCAGCATCCATACATATCAATGTTGGAAAGCAACATGGAAGTGGGCTACAGGTAGTCCTCACTTAATGACCACAATAGGGACCAGAAAATTTGTTGTTAAGCGGGACAGTTGTTAAGCGAGTCGCACCCAATTTTACGACCTTTTTTTGCAGCAGCCATTAAGCAAATCATGCGGTTCTTCATTGATTTTGTTTGCCGGAAGCCATCTGGGAAGGTTGCAAATGACCCCAGGATGCCTCAACCATCATAAGTGTGAGCTGGTTGCCGAGCACCTGGATCGCGATCATGTATGCTGCGATGGTTGTAAGTGCAAGGACCAGTTGTAAGTCCCTTTGTTCAGCACCACTGTAACTTCAAATAGTCACTAAACAAATGATTGTTAAGTGAGGACTACCTATACTCTCTACCAGGTCAGGCTTGTGAGCTTCCCAAATACATCCAGCTGATCACTACTAATGCAACAAGCTGGTCTAGATGAGGTGACGGTCTGATCCGGCAGGGCTCTTAAGTTCTCAAGGAGGAAAAAGTCTGCCTCAACAAAGTCCTTCATAAGATATGATCAGTAGTTATAGCTACTTAACACCCTGGTTTCTCAATTTCCTTCCTTTCCCAACAGGCACCATCAACATTTTGTGAGACAGATGAATACACATTTGAAAACATAACAACTCCTCAACAAACAATGCTGTTCTAAGGAAATGTAAAACAAAAAAACAAAAAACCAAACTTCCAACGCAGAGGTGGGCTACCTGGGATCCACAGATGACATACATCTCAGCCTCATATTTGTCCACTCCCCCCAATCTCCAAAACTCCCCCAGCAAAATGGCCATTTTCAGCAGTGCATATTTCTCACCTTTCTTTGCTTATTTAATCTATAAAAGAGCTGTGTTAAAACTTCCAGCAGACTTAATGCAAATTTTACATTTTAAGAAAATGAAAAGCCTAATAATAAACATCATAAAAATTGACCCCACCCACCCTGGTGAGTTTCTTTCCCCAGCAAGACCAAAAAGCCAAAAATAATGGTAAAAAAATGCCCTCCCCAAGCTGTCCCCACCAATTCTATAGCAAGTTTGAATGCCTTAGTTCCCTCCCGTTCTTTCATTGCCCCGTTAAAATTAGATCCTCGCGTGAGGAGCTGAGCACAGAAGTACTGTGAAACCAGCTGAATTGCAACAAAATACCAAAAGCATCATGGTGGACTAGGAAGAGATGCCTAAGATCACTCTTATACATACATAAATAAATAATAAAAATTATGATTACTATTAAAAATGATAAACACTACAATAATTAAATTCATTTCCACATATTTTAAAAAATAGGCAGGATGAGTGGTGCTGACAGACTGGGGAACTTACCGGGCCAAATCCAGACGATCCAGTTTTAGTAGGATCTGGACAGTCATGGCCATGCTAGAAAGAAAGAGAACAGTTTTAGGGACTGGAGCTGGGAGGCCACAGGTGATTGCATGCCCTCAGACTGAGTTGAAGTACAGTTAAGGGGTCCTTCTGGACCAGTGGCTCTTGCTCAAGGAGCAGGTGGGAGCCATGGCCAGTCAGCAGAGCCTTCGCACAAATCCATCTTGTGCACTGACCGAGCTCCTTCTTGGAATGGGAGGTTCTGTTCATGGTCTCTCACACCTTAGTAACTTCAATTTCTATGGCCTTTGCCTTTTTGTATTATAGCAAGTTGTTAATAAGCCAGTCGTTTAATCACCTGGAGTAAATCTGCAGAAAGGTGACTCACAAACTAGATTAAGAGAAGAAGGGAGGAAAAAAGAATCTCCCCAAGGGGAAATGTATCATCATTTGAACACATAAGGCTTCCAGAAGCAGAGTAGAAAGCTTCTTGCCAACTGGATATAGGATTAGAACAATGGGAGGTACAGATTGTGATTCAACTTAATTTTTTTCAATGGGATGAGTGATAAGTCCTTCTTTATGGAGATACAATTATTCTAAGGTAATTGGTGAGAAGCGACAATGGGATACAGGCTTGCGCATGGCGCATCCAAGAAAAAAAGGGGCCAAGTCCGCTTACCACTCCAAGCTGTCGCCCTGGTGAAGGGTCCGCAGCGCCGCATCGGGGTTCTGGTCGTGGAAGTAGACTGAAGCCGCCATCAGCAGGAAGGTCGTGTTAGTGACCTCCATGCTCTTGCCCATCTTCTTATCTAACTCTGCCACAATGGCATCCCTATTAAGAGAGGAGGGGAAGGTCAAATAAACCTCAGTGTCCCCCAAGATGGGAGCAACCCACAGATTCTCTATAAGCAGCTGTTCAGAGGCCAAAACTTCCTTCCACAAATTCAGCAGCAGGAATATGAAAAGTATGGAACACCCTTGACATGTTGTTCTAAGCTGCTCCGAGCAGAATCCAGAATCCGTTATCTCTATTTTATTTGTGGCTAGGCAGATGAAGGCTGGACCCTGTCTTTCGCCTCTGACTTGTCAGGAGAGCTACTCAGTTTGCCCCGGACTCACTTGCTTATTTACCACACCACCTAAAATTATCTTCAGCTTTGTGCCTAGAAAAGCTTGCTAATTTCTGCTATTTTTTCTCCCAAGGAGCCAGTACTTTCCTAAAAGATGGAAGTAACGTGCAAGTTTCATAGGTAGTATATTTTTTGGGGGGATTAACCATTGTGATTAATTTATCCTAATCATCTCAGAAGAGTCCTAGGAACTACCAAAACCAAATCTGATAAAGCCAGATAGACACAGCTGCAACCTCCTTCTGTAGGGGCTAGGTTCACATAATCATACTGAACCATAATATGATTTATTCAGTTTTGACATTTATTCAATTGTGTAAATCCACCCAATAGGCATTTATTCAACAAATCATGGATGAGAAACCATGGTTTAATTCAATATGTGAACCCAGATTATTTTTTTTGAACCAAGCTTCTTCAACCTGCTTATCACTGAAACGGATGAAGAATTCTGGAGAATTAAAAAAATACACTATTCTGCAACTTGGGGTCGACCTTATATTCTTACAGAGACATCAGCATTTTTCTTAAGACCCAAATGGCTGCATTTGCTTTTTGACAATGATGAAAGGAGAGGCAAAGGAGAGAGCCTTTCTGTCAAGCCAGACAATGAGTTTTTAAAATTTAAGCGGGCTTGTTTGACTGACAGCAGCGGCTTTCCAAGGTCTGAAGGAGATAAGTTTTTTTTCCTAGATGAGCCTGGAAAAAGACACAACTGCTTTAATGAGCCTCAGGCAGCTGCCACACTCACTTTCTCACATGTACTCAAGCACCTTTTCCAAATCACATCTGAAGCATTGCACAGTCCTACCTCTAAAAGAAGGAAAGCTTCTGCAACACAAGATGCCCCTCCCCCTCTGAAGTATTCCCATAAATGTCCGGCCTCTGATTCTTGTGAAGGAGGCTAGCTGCTTGATACACATCTCTTCATTTTTAAAGTGCCTAATTGCCATTTCATTAGTAGAAAGGACGACGCCTGCTAGGCAGGACAGGTGAAGGAGTAGCACCAAGACAATACCACAGCAGGTGGCAGCACCAAGTCACCTTGGCTATCTCAAAAAGCTGACCCAGTTTAGATGACAGATTCTGTGGAAATACCAGGCCTGCAAGGTAGACTGAGAAGTTAAAAAAAAAAAAAAAGCTCCTCTATGAGGCAGTACAGGTAGTCCTCACTTAATGACCGTTTAACAAGTTTGAAGTTACAATGGCCTCAGAAAAAGTGCTTTATGACATGTACTCACACTTATGACCGTTGCAAACTGTCGCACCCCCTTGTGATCACGTGATTGTGATTTGCAAACTTTTTACAACAGTCATTAAGCGAATCATGTGGCCATTAAGCAAATTCCGGCAAAAAAGTCCATTGGAGAAGCTGGTTCACTTAATGACCATTGTAAAAATGGTCATAAAATCGGGTCCGGTCACATGGTGACTTGTTTAACAACTACGCCGCTTAACAACCAATTTTCCAGTCCCTATTGTGGTTGTTAAGCAAGGACTACCTGTAATGGCAAACCATTCCCTGCCAGCTGGTAAGAAAACTGCCTGGATGTATCATGTAGTAACCAAATGCTGAGCTTGATTCAAGGAAATCCTCACCTCTTATTAAGGTGATACCATTATTTTTAAAGCACGCTTTCAAATGTCATCTTCCCTACATATCCTGCTTTGTGCATACAAATATAATTTAGGGCATCCACTTAAAAAAAAAATCTGATCTGAGCACTGATGATGTTTACCTAGTTGGGTAATAAACCATCTGCAATCAAACAACCAAGCTCAGAGAGCACCAAGGACTCCACAAATCCAATACTGTTGTTCTCCAAAGAATCAGCCTAAGTTTAGCCACCCAAAAGATGCTTTGCATATAGAACTTGTAAAAATCCCAAGGTGGAAAATCTAAATGCAATTCCTGCAGATTTGTGAAGAAGACACAGAATTCTCCTTGCAGGAGATTGTAGCACTCAAGTCCCAGACTTACCTTTGACTCTCTTTGGAGAGATATTCAGCAAACATCCGCACAGCCTGGAGCTCCGGAGAAGCCCTGGGCTTGATTTCATCCAGCACCACGCCATACTTGCGCTGTGGAAAGGAGGGGGAAAAACAAATTCCTGTTTCTACCAAGAGCAAAACTGAATGTTGCAGGCAAGATAAAAGGAGTCTTTAATGCTAAGCTTTAAGTTGCTTTTGCAGCAAGCCAGCATCCAAAATGCAAATGTATGTTTCAGTTGAACATGTTCCTGTTGCAAAGGTTCCTACTAACAAATGATGGACGTTCCACCTCTGGTTTGTCAGCATGTCATGTGAACCAGGACCACAGGCTTCTGCTACCACACACACTGTGGTTTGTTCCTCTGACTATTCTGAGAGGAACGATGCAGTACATCTAAGAGAAACGTGCAGCTGTTCAGATCCAAAGCAGAAAAGGGACCTCAGAATGGCGTCACCAGTTCACTGCAACTGTAAGTACCTTCTTAAAGAAGTTACATCTTTCTCTGCACCTTAAAGAAGTTTGCAGAATAGCCTTGCAGTCCTGGGAATTAACCACATTTGGGTTAAAGAGCATTAAGGTGCAACCACCTTGCTACGCCCTTTTTGCACTTCCTTAACACATGTATTCCTGAAACTATACAGCTACCATGTGAACTCAGGAAAAGATGTGACTTTTTTAAGGAGGAACCAATGACTGTAACAACGGCACCCCCACCCCATCCCTGGATCTTTTCTGGTCTGGATCCAAGTAGCTGCTAATCCCTAGCTCCAGGGGCATCTGCAGAGTATGGTCAAAAAAGTAAAGATGGGGCCCATGATGGTACGATAGAATCTTCGCCTTGCCATCTTGACTTTATTGACCGTACCCTGCGGACATCCATGCCTAGCTCCCAATTTAAATGGCTTGTAAATCAGACACGAGCAAGCATTTGGTGTCCTAGGGCAGCAAATATTTTGGGAAAGGATGAGAGTCACAATGTGGGTGGGACAGTTGGGGGGGGGGGTCTTTGGTTTTGGGGTTTTTTTCCTAGTACACATCTCAGGACTCAGATGGCAGGGAAACTGTCTGTCCTCAGCCACACTGCGAGCTGCCCTGAGTTGTTTGGAGTCAGGAGGCGGCTAAATAAAGTAAGTTAAATTAAATTATGACCGATGGGGCTTCAAAGGGATCAAAAAGGGGACTCAGAAACTGCAGGTTGCCCACCTGTCCTCAACCACCAAAGGGGCCTTTGTCATTTTGTATCACACCCACACAGGAGAGATGTCAGTGGGCACCTGAGCTGTATATCCTGCCACATCAATCATTTCCTGCCAAGACAAATCCTGGTTTAGCACGAACTGGCCATGACCCTCCTTGAAAGTGCTCCTGGCCTGCTAGGATGACACCTCTCCCTCAGTCTCCGTAGGCTGGCATCCTGATATCTATCAAGAGATGAGTTCCCTTGTAGCTTCCCTATCTGTGTTTCACAGGAAATCTGTGGACAATGATTCCTGTCACCCGACTCCTGGGTCTGATGGAAGCTGCAGTCAAACAGCAGCCAGAGAACAACAGATTCTCCACCTGGGGTCTGGAGGAAGCACCTAGAATCTGGATGAATAGCTAGCAATCAAAGGAGGCTGCTGTCACCAATTCAGGGTTCAAGATATTGTCGATATTAATCACGAGCCCCTTCAGGGAGTTAAATTCTGATTGAAACCTAACAGAGAAGCAATCCACACAAAAACACAAAACTGCACATTTCAGTCCAAGGCACGTGTATAGAACATCAGATAAACCTGGCAGCCGCCATTTTGGCACTTTCCCAAATCATTCGAAGAGCCTGGCCTACCTGTGCAATGTATGCACGGTACAGGAAGATGTCCCGCTCTACTTCTTTTTCTGGACTGGATGGCTAAAAAGAGAAAAGAAACGTTATTTCCATAACGGTACACACATACACACAACAAAGCACAACACCTCCCAAAAGCCTCAGGACACCTTGAGACCCACAAATGTATTGATTAACTTAAACATAAAATTCCTACTTTTGGGATGCAGTGATTTCTAGGTACTTTCTATCGATACAGTACTACCTATGACTCCCAGCAGCTGCAGCCACCATGGATGCTGGGATTTGTAGTTAGCACATTCAAAAAACCACCTCTAGGCTATATGATATCACAGGATAGCCACACTTCTTTTTGTTCCTGTAACCACACATGATGCCGTTCCAGAGCATTATACAGCCTGTGGCGAGAGCCATCCTCCTTAGGCATTTGATGGGTTCTTTAAATAAATATTAATAAACACAAACAAGAGAAAGCAGAAAAAGCCCTCCCACCACCTCAGAGGTTAAGGCACAGGAAATCAGGTGGGGTAAAAATGAATAAACAGAAATAGAATTTATGTGGTTTAAATCACATTATAGAACTCTTCCAAGCTGCTTTGTAAAAAAAATGAACATAGTTCCCATACATATTTATGAATATAACAACTAATTTGTTTGATTTTCTAATACAGAAAGAAGAGGCAAGTTATCAAACATGGTAACCGACATTAAAGAAATCTGCATCTTTAAAGAGACATAGGTCAATGACTTTTAATATAATTTAGAAGTTGTGGATGAATGTTCTATTACCAAGCCACAGCAAAAGCATCCTCTGATTAATTGATTTGTGCCATCAGTGTTGACTTTTAGCAACCACATAGGCCTTTTCCAGGATGACCTCTCCCCAATGAGTCCTTCAGATCGTCCAATGGTGCACCCATCACTGCTGTAATTGAGTCCACCCACCTTCCTTCCACCTTTCCCAGTGAGGTCTTCACGTAAAGCGTCCAAAGTATGATAATTTGAGCCTGGTCATTTGTGCCCCCCTCCCCTCAAGTGAGAGATGGATTTGTTCTATGATCCATTTGTTTTGTTTCCTTGGCTATCCACAGTATTCTCAAGAGTGTTCTCCAACCCCAAAGTTCAAAAGCATCAATACTCTTCTGATCCTGCTTCTTCAAAGTCCAACTTTCACTGCCATAAAGTGTCATAGGCAAAACCATAACCTGCACGATTCTGATCTTTGTAGATCAGCATCACAGCATCTGAATATATTTTCCAAGGCATCCATGACTACTCCACCAAATCCTATTCTGAAATATATTTCTTGGCTGCTGGTTTCTTTACTGCCGATAGTTCATCCTAAAAACCACTTGACTGATCCTATTGATGATCTTATTCACCAGTTCATTGTCTTCTCTATCAGCCCTAAGGGTGATTGCTGGACTACTGCCATTTATTTGGTCTTTATATTTAATCTTAGTCCCATTTTTTCACTGTGCTCCTTGACTTTTATTACTAAAATATCCCTTAAAAATGCACAACTCTTAATCATTAAGTATATGTTATTATTTGTTATTATTACTATTTTATTATTTATTTAAATTTATTGGCCACCCAAAACCAGTGGACTCTGGACAGCACACAAAACTAGGGAAAACCCAAAAACAGCTAAAACATTGAATCATGTACTTGCTTTATATTAAGATCAGTATTCCATTTTTTAATGAAATTGAAGCTGAAAACATTCTCCTGAAATAATTAGTTTAGAAGGTATGTTCTTTCTAAAAATGAAATTTACATTTCTCTCTGAATACAGGTAGTCCTTGCTTAACGACCACAATTAGAACTGGGAACTCCATCATTAAGTGACACAGTGGCTAAGTAAAACATCATGTGACCACAACAGACTTATGACATCACTTCCCATTTGGTTGTTGAGTCACCGTGGATCGTTAAATGAGACATCACGTGACCGTGATTTGCAATTTTACTGCCAGCTTCTCCATTGACTCTGCTTGCAGGAAGCCAGTTGTGAAGCATGCAAACAGTGATCACATGACCGCAGGATGCTGCAATGGTTGTAAAAGCCCACCAGATGCAATGTGTCCAAACATTGATCAAATGACTGTGGGGATGCTGGGACAGTCGTAAATACAAGGACTGGTCGTAAAGTTACCTTTTCAGCACTGTTGTGACTTCGAACGGTTGCTAAACAAGGCAGCCATTAAACGAGATCTACCTGTACTAAAGAATATTCACATTCTAGTAAACAATGAGTGCATTTCTTAGAAATTATTGTAGAATTAAAATGAGCCTGAGTAGCGATTTAAATCAAATTCATCTTAGGAAGAATTTAGGAAACTGGACATAACATAACATAACAGGTAGCAAATTGCATTGTTAAATTGGAAAGTGCAAGAAGTAACGTATTTCTTTTGGGGTAATGACATATCTGATCATGGTTAACTGAGCGATAGTTTACTATAATACCATTTACTGGACGTACGAAACAATGGTGAATGAACGACATAGGCTATGTTTGCAAAACATGTTTGGCTAAAACATGGTTGGATAGTTTGTGGTTCAGTGCATTGAGTGAATCCAGCCACCATCTGTCCTGAACACCCCTCTGTTCAATATTGCTGAGTAACCCTTTTGATTCTCCTGTTAAGGAAGGTGGAACTAAGGTTCTATTTCCCCCTCCACTCTAGGCATAGTTTTCTACAATTGATATGCCCACCATCACTTACCTTTTTGATAAATTAATGTTATAATCCCCATACTCATTTACTCAAAAGTAAACCCACTGAATTAGTTGGGTCTCACTTCTGAACAGCGTGTTTAGGGAAGATTCTCTGGTTCCTTGATAATCTTTGGCACACTCGTACAATATTTGGACCCGTAATGAATAAAACCATAACCAGCAGGTCAACTGCAGTGGAATCATACATTCAAACGAAGGCATTTGTGAGAAAAATATATCTTTGGGTGAAAAAGACAAGTTTTTAGAGGCCTCAGATGAATGGGATCACCTTAATAAG